TCTCTGCTTCTGTCTCTGTTTCTAACTCCGTCTCTGTTTCTACCTCTGTCTCTGCTTCTACTGCTGTTGCTGCTGCTGCTGCTGCGTCTACTGGTGCTTCTACTTCTGTCTGTGCTCGTACTTCTGTCTCTGCTTCTGATGGTGCTTCTGCTTCTACCCTGTTGAGGCACAAAGTTGTTATCAACACATACATCTGAAACTCCCCCCTGTGACGAGCAGCTGTGGCACTGAAATTCTTCATTTTGTGGTCTGAAACAGCGGAAAATGTTTTTGAGACCGAGCCCAGTCTTCCCAAGTTTCTTCAGTGCTCCTTTCAATGTCTCTGTGTCAATAGTTCTACTTTCCACTCTGCCAGGGTTATCATAAACTGTTGTAAACACAAAGGCATAACGGCTCCACTTTTTAAGGACATTTTTTTTAATTAATGTCAAGATGTTGTGCTTGTCATTGGCATCTGTACACTTGTCTGCACATGGGGAGAGGTAAGAGTAGATGAGCAGGAAGTCTCTTTGGCTGTTTTTCATCAATGGTTGCAAGTTGTTACATTGCAAAACTATATATTCTGCATGTACAGGGCCTGCGCTTAAAGCTGCGACCACATGATTGTGTTTGTCTTGAAACACTACACCTTCTGAAAGTTCGGTGTTAACTAAGACTTCAGCAAGTTTCTGTGGGTCAGAGATCTGTGGGATTTCTGCAGCCAGACAGAACTGTCTCCTTCTTCCTTCCCTGAAAAAGATGCAGAAAATAGTGATGCAGAACTGAGATAATTTGCAACTGGGTGGATGTTTACAGTTTACAGCTCATCAGGAAATTCTGGGGTTGTATTAACAAGGATCTGACCTCTCCACTAAGAGTTGTCCTACATATCACTTACAGTTTCTAACTAAGAGTTCCTCCAAAGTGCTTTGGACGGAGAAGGATATATATATATATGTAAAACCCCAAGAAATCCAACTGGATAGATTAGTGGTGCTGCAGTTAGTTATGTTTTTGTTATTTGGGTGAACTGAACCTTCTTCTGTAAATGACATGAAATGCAGTTACAATACAGGTCTACTCACTTTTCATGCGATCTACAATTTGTGTCATGATAGGCTCTACAATATTAGTCAGCCAGTTAACATCCACAGCAGCCAAACTGGTTCCAGCCGACAGCAGGACCAGCATCATCGGGGACAGGAGATTCATCTGTAGTAAGGATAAAGCACTGCCACTGTCCACTACAGGTCTCACAGTTCATTATAGTCAAAATATGAACAAACAACATCCGTATGATTTATCTGTTCTGAGACTTTTAACCATGGTGGAGCTAAAAATGTCAGTTATACGTGTTAAATGACAGTTTTAACTGAGAATTGTAAATCAACAGGAGTTAAACAAACGAATGAATAAATGACATTAAACTACAGGTGTTAAATAACAGGTGTTAAACGATGGTTTTAAACGCTGCTCATTCTAATGTAAAAGTCCCTATTTTCAGGTGATTATACACAAATGAAACTATACCTATGAATATTATATTTCTATGTCTGACAATAGATCCTCCTCAGTGTTACACTCTGACAGATAATTATAATACGTTTAAAAGTTTCTTACCTTCACTGCGTTTTTCCAACAATCTGCTCGTGTTTGCAAACTGCAGCAGAAAAAATGCTCAATCAGATTATTGACTCAGGTCAGCTCTGAACAAATTGCTGTTGGTCATTTATTTACCTGCTCAGGTGGAGGTTTCTGCTGTGTTCAGTTTGTAGAGGTGCAGGTCACTGATTGTCTCAGTAATGCTGGAGCTTTTTATAAAGAGGAGGGCAGGGCAGGACAGCCAATCCTCATGTTAACCATGAACTTTAAAAATGAGGAAGAATAACAAAGATGTCATCACACATCTAAAGCCTCACTGTCCACTGATGTTAAAATAGTGTGATATACCTTATATATTAGTACATTGATTCAAACATGCAAGGGAGACGCGGCTGTTTAAAAACCAGAGCCTTTAACTGCCGGACTGCGAGTCCAGATAAAGGATATGGTGGATGGAACGTTTTAGTTATTTAATGTTCTTTTTTATTTCATTGACTGAAGGAAAAACAAACATACCCAACCAGTAAGATGGAAATAAACATCCAAATATCACAGCAAACACAACAGGAACAAGAAACCAGGACAATGGAATATAACAGAAACACAGCATTATATATAGTATCTGTCTATACTACATATATGATGTATGAAAGAATACCTTAGCCATTCCTTCACTGATATATCCCCTCTGAAATGGTAGATAAATGTAATGGGTCTCTTCGCTGTAATAGCTCATTAGTATGTTAAACCTCCACAAGGCATCAGAGATCCTTTAATAGAAGCTCTATGAGTCAGCCCATGTATAAAGCCCTGATACAAACCCCCAGTTTTCACTACAATTGCTTTAAAAATATTTCATCTGGATTCATTGAACTAGTCACTCATTTAAGAATCATATGATTTGTCTGTAGGTTCCTTAAAGTCTTAACTTGTTTTTATTTAGTGTAATGAAGAAGACATACTGATCAGGGTGTTTAACGGTTGAACTTCCTGTCTGTTGAACAGAGATTAGATTGACACTTCTGCTGTGTGAATGACAACAGCAGTTTTCTCTGAAAAACAACTGCTGTGGTTACACAATGTTTCCATCTCATACATCTGTCAGCAAGGGTCAAAGGTCTCAGGACTAGTTAAAGATCCAAGGTCTGGGAACCAGCTGCAGACTTCTGGTGGGACCAAGTCCTTGTTTTACAGAACATAAGTCTCAAGTCTTTGCACTGAAGCCCAAAGTTCAGTTAAGTTACCCTTTATTACACCATTGTCCTGGATGGATGAATACTTGATTCTTGTTGGCTGCTGGGTGTCCATTACATCCTCTTTACACTCTGTTTACTGTTCTAAATTATTGGAACAGATAAATGAATGAAATAATAATTTAAAAAACCTTGACACTGATTTGGTGACAGTGACGTGGCTGATAGTTAACAAGCCTTGGAGTTAAACATACTGTCAACTGTACACAGTGTTATTGACTAGCTAGCATAGCGTTAGCTCTCTGTGTCGTAGCGTAACGTTAGCTCTCTGTGTCGTAGCTTAACGTTAGCTCTCTGTCTCATAGCTTAACGTTAGCTCTCTGTGTCGTAGCGTTGCCCCATCCTAAGTACTAGTACTAGTCAGTAGCAACTGTGTGAAGCCCTAAGATAATTTCCAGATCTGAGACAGTGCCTTGGTCAAGGGCAATGACTGGAAGATTAAGGCGACAGTGCTAACCACTTAACCACATTGCCATCAAGTCCTAAGTAAAGTCCTAAACTTGTTTTTAACAGTTTCAAGTCCTGAGCAAGTCAATGTGCTCTTCACCAACTGTAAACAGCATCTTAACAACAAAACAAACAAAATCATATTTGGTATAATTTTCTTTGCTGCTCAGTTCTTTATGGTTCTCTGCTGCAACTTAATTGAATGCATTAGTGTTAGGTGTTGTAGGAAATGAAGGGAATTGAACTGAATTGTGACACACTTTCTAACTCCCCAGTAGAAATTACTGAAACCCTGTTAAATCAGGTCTTTTCAGGTCAGAAGGCTCAAGTCCAAGTGAAGTCATGAGTCATTAGTGTTGGTCTAGTTGCAGAGTTCTGCAAACTGCGATCAGTATTGAAATTTCTTCAAAACTTCCTCTGTGTGAAACAGATAAGATTAACTTCTGCTGTGTGAATGACTGACATGTTCTGTGCTGTGGTTACGAAAGGTTTTTATCATACATCTGTCAGTAAGGGTCAAAGGTCTGAGGACTAGTTTCAGAGGTCTGGGGACTAGTTGTAGAGGTATAACGCACAGCAGGTGTTACATAGGCTTCATAGGCTGACTATTTGAATCATTAAATTTCTACTTTTTGTGTTCTTGAGGTTTTTATGTTCTTCATGTTTTTTTAATTATTGTATTATTTTATTTGGACCATTAGCTC